TATTTCGCATGATGTATTCTGCATATAAGTTAAATAAGCAGGGTGACAGTATACAGCCTTGACGTACTCCTTTCCTGATTTGGAACCAGTCTGTTGTTCCCTGTCCAGTTCTAACTGCTGCTTCTTGACCTGCATACAGATTTCTCAGGAGGATGTTAGCAATTTGATCTCTGGTGTCCCTGCCTTTCTAAGTCCAGCTTGAACATCTGCAAGTTCATGGTTTACATACTGTTAAAGCCTGGCTTGGAGAATTTGGGCATTACTTTCCTAGCATGTAAGATGAGTGCAGCTGTACGTAGTCTGAACATTCTTTGGCACTGCCTTTCTTTGGGATTGGAATGAAAACTGATCTTTTCCAGTCCTATGGCCACTGCTGAGTTTTCCAAATATGCTGGTATATTGATGCAGCACTTTCACAGCAGCATCTTTCAGGATTTGAAATAGCTCAACTGGAATTCCATCACCTCCACTAGTTTTGTTCGTAGTGAAGCTTCCCAAGGCCCACTTGACTTCACATTCCAGGATGTCTGGCTCTAGGTGGGTGATCACACCATCATGGTTATCTGGGTCATGAAGATCTTTTTTGTATAGTTCTTCTATGTATTCTTGCCACCTCTTCTTAATATCTTCTGCTTCTGTGAGGTCCATACCATTTCTGTCCTTTACTGTGCCCATCTTTGCATGAAATTGTTCCCTTGGTATCTCTAATTTTCTTGAAGAGATCTCTAGTCTTTCCCATTCTATTGTTTTCCTCTATTTCTTTGCATTGATCACCGAGGAAGGCTTTCTTATCTCTCTTTGCTATTCTTTGGAACTCTGGTATATCTTTCCTTTTCTCCTTTGCCTTTAGCTTCTCTTCTTTTCACAGCTATTTGTAAGGCCTCCTCAGACAACCATTTTGCCTTTTTGCATTTCTTTTCTTGGGGATGGTCTTGATCATGCCTCCTGTACAATTTCATTAACCTCTGTCCATAGTTCTTCAGGCACTCTGTCTATCAGAGCTAATCTCTTGAGTCTATTCGTCACTTGCACTGTATAATCATAAGGGATTTGATTTAGGTCATACCTGGATGGTCTAATGGTTTTGCCTACTTTCTTCAATTTAAGTCTGAATTTCGCAATAAGGAGTTCATGATCTGAGCCACAGTCAGGTCCCGGTCTTGTTTTTGCTGACTGTATAGAGCTTCTCCATCATTGGCTGCAAAGAACATAATCAATCTGATTTCGGTATTGACCATCTGGTGATGTCCATGTGTAGAGTCTTGTCTTGTGTTGTTGGAAGAGGGTGTCTGCTATGACCAGTGCGTTCTCTTGGCAAAACTCCATTAGCCTTCACCCTGCTTCATTTTGTACTCCAAGGCCAAATTTGCCTGTTATTCCTGGTATCTCTTGACTTCCTACTTTTGCATTCCATTCCCCTATGATGAAAACAACATCTTTTTTGGGTGTTAGTTCTAGAAGGTCTTGTAGGTCTTCATAGAACCGTTCAACTTCAGCTTCTTCAGCATTACTGGTTGGGGCACAGACTTGGATTACTGTGATATTGAATGGTTTGCCTTGTAAATGAACAGAGATCACGCTGTCATTTTTGAGACTGCACCCAAGTACTGCATTTTGGACTTTTGTTGACTATTCCATTTCTTCTAAGGATTCTTGCCCACAATAGTAGATATAAAGGTCATCTGAGTCAAATTCATCCATTCCAGTCCATTTTAGTTCACTGATTCCTAAAATGTCGATGTTTACTCTTGCCATCTCCTGTTTGACCACTTCCAATTTACCCTGATTCCAGGTTCGTATGCAATATTGTTCTTTCCAGCATCGGACTTTACTTCCATCACCAGTCATGTCCACAACTGGGCGTTGTTTTTGCTTTAGCTCCGTCTCTTCATTCTTTCTGGAGTTATTTCTCCATTTTTTCTCCAGTAGCATATTGAGCACCTAACCAACCTAGGGAGCTCATCTTTCAGTGTCATATTTTTTGCCTTTTCATACTGTTTATGGGGTTCTCAAGGCAAGAATACTGAAGTGGTTTGCCATTCCCTTCTTCAGTGGACCACATTTTGTCAGAATCCTCCACCATGACCCGTCTGTCTTGGGTGGCCCTACAGAGCATGGCTCATTGTTTCATTGAGTTAGACAAGGCTGTGGTCCATGTGAACAGTTCGATTAGTTTTCTGTGATTGTGGTTTTCATTCTGTCTGCCCTCTGATGGATAAGGATAAGAAGCTTATGGAAGCTTCCTGTTGGAAGAGACTGATTGTGGGGGAAAGTGGGTCTTGTTCTGATGGGTGGGTCCATTCTCAGTAAATGTTTAATCCAATTTTCTGTTGATGGGCAGGGCTGTGTTCCCTAATGTTGTTTGACCTGAGACCAAACTATGGTGGAGATAATGAAGATAATGGTGACCTCCTTCAAAAGGTCCCATGCATGCACTGCCACACTCAACCCTGCAGCAGGCCTCCAACGCTGCAGCAGGCCACCGCAGATCCACGTGTCCACTGGAGACTCCTGGACACTTACAGGAAAATCTGGGTCAGTCTCTTGTGGGGTCACTACTCCTTTCTCCTGGGTCCTGGTGCACACAAGGTTCTGTTTGTGCCCTCCAAGAGTCTGTTTCCCCAGTCCTCTGCAAGTTCTGGTGGCTCCATGGTGGGGTTAATGGCAACCTCATCCAAGAGGGCTTATGCCACACCCAGGTCTGCTGCACCCAGAGCCCCTGCCCCTGTGGCAGGCCACTGTTGACCCATACCTCCATAGGAGACACTCACTCACAGGCAGGTCTGGCTCAGTCTCTGTGGGGTCTCCTGTGTACACCAGGTTTTGTTAGAGCCCTCTGAAAGTCTCTGGTGGGTTTGGGGTTTGGTTCTAAACACAGTTTCACCCCTCCTACCGTCTTGCTGGGGCTTCTCCTTTTTCCTTTTCAATTCACATTAGAAAATTCAATTTCTGCATCAAGTTTGTGTACTTCCATGTGTTTGAAGGAATTTATTTTATGTGACACCAAGATGTTTGCAGCTAAGCTTTGGTTTGATCAATTACACATCTGATTCAAATTAACTGGGTTGATAGTTTGCTGATGAAACCATATGGCAAGGGACACTGAGTAAAAAGGGAAACAACTTTTCTAAAAAAGCACCATTCAACTCCAATGACTGTTTATCTCATCTTTTTTTTTTTTTTTTGCTTAATTACTTCTAATTTCATTGTCTAGTCTTTAGACAACTCAATGATCACACCTTAGATAAAGTTTGGAGCAAACTGACTGACAGTATAGCACATATAAAAAGGAAGAGCATGAGATCGAGCTGAATTCTAAATGCAGCAGGAAGCTACTAAGGATTTTGATCTGGGAAGCAATAATCATAGTTACGCTTTGGGGAGATTAATCTTGTTTCAATATATAGAATGAAATAGGAAAGGAAGACTGAGAGTGACAAAAACATTACAGGTTTCCCTGTTATCCTAAAGTAGCGTGTTCCCAATGAAACCTTTCCTAAGCAAAATGGTGGTATGTGAAGAAGCAATTACCTTAATTACCTTTGTGCTAACTGATGTACAAAATAAATCCTGATAAAGCCCAGATGCTCACAGACACAGTGCAAAGCTATGGTGGCTTGATGCTGAGATGATGAGTGTAGTTTCCAGGGAAGGAGCCTGGCAGGGCCACTCACACTGCTCTTGGGGTGTGTGCTGCCTCTGTACCAGCTCACTGCAAAACAAATGTTGAACCCATTTTTTTGCTTTATCATAAAAGTGACAATCCTCTTCCAATTTCTTTCAGTTAGTGAAAAGAGACACTAACACAGGACTTTCTTAAAAAAGGTGTAAAGTAAACTTGGAAAAGTGGGGAATACCTGTATTTGTCTATTTGTTTTCTTAGTTGCTAAGTCATGTCCAACTCTTTAGTGACCCCAGAGACTCTAGCCTACCAGGCTCCTCTGTCCATGATATTTCTGAGGCAAGAATACTGGAGTGGGTTGCCATTTTCTTCTCCAGGAGATCTTCTCAACACATAGACTGAACCTGTGTCTCCTGCTTGGCAGATAGATTCTTTACCACTGAGCCACTGGGGAAGCCTTTACCTGTATTAATAAAGTCAAATTTGAGGCAATGAACGCCTGAATTATGGCACTACTGGGAAAGACAGGCAACAGAGATGAGGACAGCACAGTAGTTAAAAGCATGGACATTGGAACCACATTGCCTGTATCCAAATCATAAGGGTTCTGTCCCTTGTGAATTATATGGCCTTAGAAACGGTGTTACCCTCTGGGCCTCAGTTTCTTTCTCTATGAAAAGGGAACAATAACAGTACCTACGCCTCATTAGGTGATGAGTAAATGTTTATAAAAATTCTTAGCTAATAATAGTTACTATATGCAGATAAAACACAAGGGCTTAAAGACTAGCTGGATGGGAAAGTTGAGTAAGGTAAAGAGATAACTATCATGTGAGTTTTAAAATTCTATAACTTGAAGAAAACTTAATAAACACAGATACTGAAGGGCAAGTCAGCAATATTTACCACCATGAATTACACAATCTTTTTAAAGAGTAAAAGACCAGAAAAAATATAAATATCTATCAATTGTGTGGCTGGCACTTTGCTGTATACTGTGAAACTAACACAACATTGAAAATCAACTATACTCCAATAAACTTTTTTTAAAAAAACTGTGTAGCTGGTAAATTACTATACATCCACACAATGCAATACTTTCAGCCATGAAGAAGAATCAGATCTAAATATGCTAATATAGAACAATTCCAACAATATATTTTTAGTAAAAATAAAAAAAGACAGGTGCAGAAAGAATACGTACTCCATGTATTCTTTATGTATTTACTCTAATTTGTTCAAAAATAAAGATAACATATCTACATATCTATATGTGTAGTGAAAGTGAAAGTCACTCGTCGGCTCCGCAGCTGTCAGCGACTCCTGTAGCCAGCCAGCTGCCTAGGTGTGCCCCCCTGGCCCTACCGGAGACACCAGCATGGTGCGCGCCAGCACCGTGGGGGCGCATCTCCCCGCGTCCGGCTTGGACATCTTCGGGGACCTGAGGAAGGTGAACAAGTGCCAGCTCTACTACCAGGTCTTAAACTTCGCCATGATCGTGTCCTCTGTGCTCATGATCTGGAGAGGCCTGATTGTCCTCACCAGCAGTGACAGCCCCATCGTAGTGGTGCTGAGCGGCAGCATGGAGCCAGCCTTTCACAGGGGCGACCTTCTGTTCCTAACGAATTTCCGGGAAGACCCCATTAGAGCTGGAGAAATCGTTGTTTTCAAAGTCGAAGGACGAGACATCCCAGTAGTTCACAGAGTAATCAAAGTTCACGAAAAAGACAATGGAGATATCAAATTTCTGACTAAAGGAGATAATAATGAAGTTGACGATAGAGGCTTGTACAAAGAAGGCCAGAACTGGCTAGAGAAGAAGGACGTGGTGGGGCGCGCCCGTGGGTTTTTACCGTATGTCAGTATGGTCACCATAATAATGAACGACTATCCAAAATTTAAGTATGCTCTTTTGGCTGTAATGGGTGCATATGTGTTGTTGAAACGTGAATCCTGAAGTGCAAAGCAGTTCCTGGGACCAGATTGAAAGAAATTTTGTTGAAGAGAAAAGTAATATATTTGAAATGTTCGACTTTCTGTATAAAAGGAAACAATGTGGAGACGTTTTGTCTTGTTCGAATAAATGATTCATCAGTAAAGGAAAAAAAAAGAAAGAAAGTCACTCAGCTATGTCTGACTCTTTGCGACCTCATGGACTATACGCTGCACGGAATTCTCCAGGCCAGAATACTGGAGTGGGTAGCCTTTCCCTTCCTCCAGGAGATCTTCACCCAGGGATCGAACCCAGGTCTCCCACACTGCAGCTGAGCTACAAGGGAAGCCCAAGAATACTACAATGGGGAGCCTATCCCTTGCCCAGCAGATCTTCCCGACCCAGGAATGGAACCAGGGTCTCCTGATTGCAGGTGGATTCTTTATCAACTGAGCTATCAGGGAAACCCCATACCTATATGTATACATATGCAAATTTTAATTCTTGAAAGATACACTAAAAACTAACAGATGTGATACCTCTGGGGAGAAACTGGAGAATTAGTGATCTAAAGAGAAGAGAGATTTGGTCTCCCTTGTATATTATTTTATCAGGCTTATAAAGTGATTTTCAGTTTAAAAAAAAATAATTAAAAAAAAAAAGACAGGCAGGTAAGGTTGAGTTCAATAATAAGAAATCATATTTACATATGTAAGTGAGCATAACTTTTTTATGTGTTCTACAAGTTTGCCCAGTATAGATACTGGTAACAGTCTAATGACCTGGGTGTTCAAAAAAACTAAAGACTGTTAAAAAAAAAAAATCTTAAAAATAGCTCAAGGACAATAGACAAACTGAACCTTAAAACACATCTGTTGTTGTTTGGTCGCTAACTCACGTCTGACTCCCTGCGACTCATGGACTGCAGCATGCCAGGCTTCCCTATCCTTCACTATCTCCCGGAGTTTGCTCAAATTCATGTCCACTGAGTAGGTAATGTCATCCAATCATCTCATCCTCTGTTGCCCCCTTCTCCTGCCTTCAGTCTTTCCCAGCATCAGGGTCTTTTCTAATGAGTCAGCTCTTCGCATCACATGGCCAAAGTGTTGGAGCTTCAGCATCAGTCCTTCCAATGATATTCAGGACTGATTTCCTTTAGGAATGACTGGTTTGATCTCCTTGCTGTCCAAGGGACTCTCAAGGGTCTTCTCCAGCACCACAATTTGAAAGCTAATTCTTTAGTGCCCAGCCTTCTTTACAGTCCAGCTCTCACATCTGTATATGACTACTGGAAAAACCACAGCTTTGGGTGTACAGATCTTTGTTAGCAAAGTGATGTCTCTGTTTTTTAATGCACTGTCTAGGTTTGTCATAGCTTTTCTTCAAAGGAACAAGCGTCTTTAATTTCAAGGCTGCAGTCGCTGTCCAGTGATTTTGGAGCCTAAGTAAATAAAATCTGTCACTGTTTCCATTGTTTTCCCATCTATTTGCCATGAAGTGATGTGACCAGATGTCATGATCTGAATTTTTTGAACGCTGAGTTTTAAGCCAGCTTTTTTATTCTCCTGTTTCACCTTCATCAAGAGACTCTCTAGTTTCTCTTCACTGTCTGCCACTGAAGTAGTATCACTTGCATATCTGAGGTTATTGATATTTCTCCTGGCAATCTTGATTCCAGCTTGTGCTTCATCCAGCCTGGCATTTTGCATGATACACTCTGCAAATAAGTTAAATATAGCAGGGTGACAATATACAGCCTTGACATTCCAATTCTGAACAAGCCCATTGTTCCATGTCCGGTTCTAACTGCTGCTTCTTGACCTGCGTACAGGTTTCTCGTAAGAGAGGTAAGGTGGTCTGGTATTTCCATCTCTTTTAGAATTTTCCATAGTGACTGTAAGTACCATCTGCATGCTAATAATTCCAAAATTTATATCCTGAGCCTCTACCTCTCCCTTGATTTGATTTATATATGGGGATTGTCTACCTTATATCCTCTGCTTAGATGTCAAATAGGCATGTCAAGCTTAACACAGCCAAAACAGAACTCTTGACTGACTTCCACAATCCTTCTTGTCTCAGTCTGCTCCGTCACATTTAATGACACCATCATCCATCCAGTTGCTTAAGACAAAAACTTTGGAGTCATCCTGATCTTTCTCTTTCCTTCATATCTCACAATAAATCCTGTTCATACTATTTTCAAAATATATATCATACTTAATTATTCTCACCACTTATACCACTATACCCTTCTCCAAGGCACCACCATCTTTTTAGGAGACCTATCGCAGTATTTTTCTAAATAACCTTTATGCTTCACTTTTACCATTTCCCACAATCCATTCTCCACCTGGCAGTTACAGGAAGCTTTAAAAAATGTAAATCACACAGACACAAAAAAATGTAAATCACATCACATACTACCCTGCTTAAAACTGTCCAATAGTTCCCCTGCTTAGAATAAAGAAACATCACAAATTCCGTTTTAGACGTGCTGAACTTGAGGGGTAAATGCCATGTAAGTGGAGACATGAAGAAAGCAAGCATTTGGCTCTCAAGAGCGATTTAGGCAGAATTACAAAGTGGCCTGACTTCTTCATGTATAACTGAAAAATGAAAACCATGGATTTGAAAAAAAAATACCTAAAATAATTTGAAAAAAGAAGGGCAGAGGCCTGGGACCAAGACTTGAGAACTCAAATTCCTTAAAGGCCTGGTAGAAGAAGGATCAACAAAAAAGACTTAGTATGAGAAGCCAGACACAAAAAGAAAACCAGAGCTGATGCCAGAGAAGCAGAGGAAAAAGGATGTTTCAAAATGAAGAGAGATCAGGTAAGGTGGAAACTGAAAAATATCACTTGATTGGACAACACATAAGTCACCTGTGACTTTAACAAGAGCTACTTCAAAGAAAAGAGGAGGAGATGTGGCAATGAAGACCTCAATTCTAGTCAATATTTTCACGAACTTGGCTCTGAAGAAAAGGGGAAGACCAGAAAGATCTTCAGTCTAACGCTCTCTCAACTGAGCTATTTCAGAGAGGCTAGAAGACCAGAAAGATAAAACTTGAGCAAGCTCAAATGCTAAAGGGATGACTTGATCAAAAGAAAGGGTCTGAAGACAGATAAGTTATAAAAATGTAAATATTCTGAAAAGTCTGAAAAGGCAGGAAGGGGTGGAATTGAGGAAAAGACAGAAGGATACAACAACCACTGATAAGATCAGACAATAAAACTGTACTTGGAAAAGCCATGCAAAAACTGTATGTGCTAAATACCTAGGTTAAAAAGTTTATTTAGCCTTATGTAATATAAAATAACCTAAACTCAACTCTTCTGCCTGAGTAACTATAGATATTGACAATTACTAATTCATTCAATAAATATTTATGAAAAGTCAGCTATAAATGGGGCAGTGTTCTAGTCCTGTGGAAGGTGACAGAGAATAAGACATTATTTTTCCCTTTAAGAAGCCCATAGTTACATAGGGAGCTCAGTCCCCGGTGCTTTGTGACAATGTAGAGGGGGTGGCAAGGAGGCTCAGGAGGGAGGAGATATATGTATGTATACTAACAGCTGATCCACATTGTAAGACAGAGACTAATACAATATTGCAAAGCAACTGTCTTCCAATTAAAAAAAAAAAGCCCATAGTTAGATAAGTTCGAAAACAAATACTTGCAAAGCAATTCAATATAAGTACTGTGATCCTTTGTATATACAAAAGAAGGTGATGGCACAAAGAAGAGGCACAACAGCATGGACTCTGAAGTCTAAGAGACGGTCTGAATCCTAACTCTGACATTTATTAGCTATATGCACTTCGTGCAAGTTCTGCAGTTTCTCTATAAGCCTCAGTTCTTCATCACAGAAGGGGATGAGAAAGCTAATTACCTCACAAAGTTATGAGGATTAAATGAATATTTGTAAAACACCCTGAACAGAGGCAGACACACAGTAACTACCCAGTATAAGTAATCTATTTGTATTAAAAGAGAGAACAGAAAACAAGCTGTGTAACGTATACTTGGGTGGGTCTTAGAAGGGATTTAGGAAATGGCAGTCTAAGAAAAAAATGGTTATGTGTAGAATCATGACACAGTGTGGTACTGCAGGAAATTGCAACTTAAAAAAAATTCACCCTCCCAACCTAACTTTTTCTAAGAATTTAAAGCAACTAACTGCAAATAGTTCTATAACTGAAATATAAAATGAAAGAGATAAGTGGTGAGGCTGTAGTCATGGAAAAGGTCAGAAAAATTAGAGTAAAGAGGAAAAATTGGCAAGACTTTGTGACCAACTGTACAAGGGGTGAACAAAAGAAAGGAATCTAATGTGATTCTCAGATTTCTGGCTTCATTCACTAAATTGATGAGGTAGCCATTAAATTAGTCAGAATAAGGGACACAGGAGCAAGAACAGGTGTGGCAGGAAAGATACTGAAATTGTTTTCAGACAAGCTGAATTTAAGGCACTCGTTAGTCACTGGAGTGGCACTGTCTAGTAGCCACTGGCAAACAGGCCAGGAAAAGAGGTCTGATCTATGTTGTCAGGATATTAATGACATCACCCAGAGGAAAATATAAGAATGAGGTGGGAAACAAACAGATATACTCTTGGATATCAGTATTAAGCACCAGATAAAGAAAAACTAATGAGAAATTCAAGCGATAAAAGGGTAACTAAGAGCTCTTTAGGAATACAGATTGTGTCTAGTTATATATTCCCAGGCTTTAGCAAAGGGGCTAGTTGAAATCAAAATCTACAGAAACTGGGTAGGATGAAGACTAAGAGATATCTAATGAATCTGGCAGTTAAGAAGTTATTACCTCAGCAAGAAGACTTGAGTAGAACAATGGAGGCAGAAGTGCAATAGACTGAAGAGGAAAAAAAGACATTAAACAATTGAGTCTATTCTTCCAAAACCTTGGCTGTGAAGAAAAAAAAAAAAATAGTACATCAGCTAGAAAAAACCTAAACAGTTATTCGTATGATAAACTGAGGAGAAACAGAGTCTACTTG